GATTTGATCAAATTTCTTGAGGATTTATGGTACAAACTTGATCAAATGATAAATATGAGTTTAAAATATTTATGTGGATAAAAAATTATGAAGTTTGACTGTAAATTGGCCATAGTTGACTTTTTCCCAATACAACTGATTTTTAGGTCAACTGCTCAATTGACTGATCAAAAATATGATCCAATGATTGAAACTTGACATGTGTAAACTTGGGGGTCCATAATGATTCATGAAAATCATATGGGGCATATAAAGTTCAAAAAAAATTGTGCAAACTCAAACCCTAATTTTGGTCATCAGTGCATAAGGAGGTGTCTTGAGTTGATCAAACCCTAGTGCAGTCTTGAGCCCAAGGAGATCTTGTGAGCAAATTCTTGATAAGTGAGAGGGAAAATTTTGGGGTACAACAATATTCTTTTTGTTTTTACTCGCTCCTCCATCGCCGAAGCAATTTGGTGTACTCCTAAATCTAATTCTTTTGATCATGGTAGTTTTGCTTTCATTGATGCTGATATTTTCCCAACTATTCTTGACACTTCCAATGGGTATGAACCTAATAATCCATATAACCTAAAACCTCTTGCTAAAATATGGTTCTGATTCTTGTTAACAAACCTTTATCCTAGAGGAGAAGATCTTGATGATGTGTTTCCAAGGGATAAATGTCTTCTTTTCTGCCTTCTCAATAATGTCTCAGTCAATTTGTTAGATATCATTTTCAATCATCTAAAGAAATCAATCTTGGAATCCATAGACTCACAAAAGTGCTTCATTCCTTATGGGCGTGTCCTATCTGAACTTTTTAAATTATCTGAAGTAATCAAAATTGTTCGAAAGGCTCATTTGACCAGAGGAAATGCTTTGTTTGATGAGAGTTGTGATGTATTTGAAGTCTAGTTGTTTCTTTTGTTTTTCCTTTTTCCTTCTGAAGTTTTCATTCTAATGTTTCATCTTTGAACTTCAATTAAGTCTTATTTCTGTTTATCACTTCTTGTTTTTTTCTTTTGTTATTTCTTCTGGTTTTATGTTTTTCGCACATAATTATCTTTTTGATTATGACAAAAATGGGGAGTAAATAACTAAAAGTAATATTTTGATTTTGATAGTCAAATTATGGAAAAAGCCTCTGAAAAGAGCTACTTACATTCTAACCTAGTTAAACTTTTGTTTCTGTTAGAATTGTTTTCTTTTTCAGGAATCATGAACTCTGATTAAAGTCAAGATCTGAAAGTGTTAAATAAGGATTTTGTCTAACTTTTGGATTAAGACTCTGAGAAGTTTTAAGTTCATAATAAGGTTGTTCATAACCAGGCTCTGAATTGAGAATCTATAGTTTGTCTTTGTGACGTTAAAGTTTCAAGATCTCAATTGACATGATTGGCATTAAGAATCAAGACTCTCAAGATCTCAATATCTGATCCTATTGGAATTAGGGGAGAGTTTTACTCAAATGGTTCAGAATCGGGATATTTGATCTTCATCAAGTCTTAGAGTCATGGGGAGTTTCATAATAAGGATAAGTGTTTCTTACCCTTTTATTTTTATTTCTTTTGATTATGTACAAAATTGTGTCATTAAAATACATAATTTTGTCATCATCAAAAAGGGGGAGATTGTTAGAATAAGATTTGGTTCTGCAATTTTATCTCTGAGTTTTGATGATAACAAAGAGTATGGTTGTATGTACAATTTTGGCACATTAATGTTTGTTATTTTGAGTATTTAACAAACAGGTTCTGCTTCTGATGAAAGACGCTACCAAGACATTAGAAGAGAATGAGTTCCTTTTCTAGCTACACAAGTTTTGATGAACAGTAGCAAAATGCTTCAGATGGCTCTGAAGTAGTGACTCTTATACAAGTCCAAGAAACCAAGTTTTGAATATATGAAGATAGAAGTTATAACTAAAGTCCAGATACTGAACACTTATATTTCTGAAGACAAAGGATTCTCAAGACCAAGTGCTGAAGATTCTAATAGATGAAGTTCTGAAGATTCTAAAGACTTGAAGTTCTGATAACCCAAAAGGTTCTACAAAGGGTTTTGAAGACCAAGTGCTGAAGACGAAGTTCCGAAGACTCTGAAGACTTAAAGTTCTAATGAACCAAGTATTATTTTTTTTACTTCTAACTCATGCTTGGCAGAAGCCCCTAAAGTACTGAAGATTAGAAGATAACATTAACCTCTACATGGTATATGGTACACTCAAAGATTTCGTTCCACTACCATGAAAGACGGGCGTGTTGTACGATCTTGTATCACATTATGTATCAAGCTGCCAACTTTATGGAAGTTCCCAAAATACCATTCAATAGTTATATTATTATATTGGCTATATAAAGGCTTGAAGACTAAGAGAGAAGGCTGCTAACTAGTATTATCTAAAGACTGTTCTTACGCTTTCTTATTTTTCTTAGTCTATATTCTTGAAATACTGTTACATTCGCTTGTGTAGAAGCATATCTTTTGTAAACAAACATTGTTCAAACAGTTGTTTGATTTTCTGTAAGGGACCCGTTGGTCACAATCCTTGAGAAGTCTAAGATTAGTGTGTCTTAGAGGTTGCAGTGTTAGTCACTTGCAGTTAACTTGTGCATTGTAATAATTTGTTTGATTATTAGATTAAGACCTTATTGAGAAAGGCGAAATCACATTGGCGGATGGATTATACTAGCTTGATAGTTTTCAAGTGAAGTAGTATAAACGTAACTTATTATTTCCTTCTTTTTTTCTTATCATTATTATCAATAAGTGAAGAAAACGTGTTTATGTTGATAGGGATTTTTAAAAGAAAAGTTTTTGATTTAAAATCCAATTCAAATCCTCCATTTCTTGTGTTTTTCACACCTTCATATACCCTTGCAATTAATCATGGTCCAAACATCGAGGATTCGAACCGCAAGACGTCATGTCTCCTTTGAATCATCTATGTTGTTAACGCAGTTGAATTTTTGAGACATTATGTACTGCATACAAAAACTATTAACAACATCAAATGCTTTGAAAAAGGATGAACATGAAACAACTTCAATAAAAATAGGAAACAGTGAATAATAGTATAACAAAACGACTAAATTAACATCAATAATCGAATAAAAAAAAAAACAAAATCAAGTGATAAGTTGCAGGTGAAAACGAATTGCATAAATTGAAGAGTATGGAGTATGAATACAGTACATTTGCAAGCATAAAACTCACTGATATTCAAACTTTTTTGGTTATTGCATATGTTTGATATTTATAGTGGATGATTTTCATTCTTTGCATTGGTAAATAAACTGTCTTTACGTTTTCCACCGCAAATGAATTTATGCAAGTCACGTTGGTAACTGAAAAGTTATCAAAAATTTGTCACAGCATTATGCAAATATTTTCTAATTATAATTAAAATCTTACTATTAATTATATCACTAATTAATCATGATTATATCTATGAATTCACAATCAAGGTAATGTAATACTCCTTTTAATTAAGTTTGATAAGGGCATGAAAAGAAATTTACTAAAAATCAATTTTCTAATTATTATAGTAGATTGCAATATTACAATCAATGATATAACACTATACTTAGATGATTCATCCAATAAACTGATATCTAAACAATTACACCATTGTTTAAATTGTTCCAAGTTATTATATATTCAAAGGCTAAGTTGTCCTGTTTTAAGTTTGTAGACAAAATTGTCTAAATTCCACCATTTCCAAGATCAAATGATTCACTTTACATTATTGATTGAATTTCATATATTTTATTATACAAAGTAAGAGGTAAATCTAAGAAATATTATTGTCAGCGTACTATTGTTTTTTCTTTCATTTGCACAACTAATCTAATTGATAATAATTTGCATAAAGAAAACAAAAACAAAATGAATGAGTGCCATAAAAATCTGGTGCATTATTAGCCACAAACGTTGTTGCCACTTGAAACTACAATGATTGATGTCTAAAATTCCAATGATCCTTCTGATATATTTGAATTTGGCCAATAAATCTTAATTTTGAATCATGAAATCAAATTAATTCATTTATTATATAGATTAGAATTTGTTTATATATATCATTTGTCTTGACCCTCGTCAGCGAATGGGAAAACCTCCGCCATCTTCTAAAAAGATAATTTCAGACTGAATTTGAATTTAAGTACTTCTTTACTCTTAGTTAAAATTTATTAATCATTTATGTTCAAATTATTTGGTTCTAAAACTTCACTCACATGTACTACTTACTTGTTTTGGTTATATCGAAAAAAGAAAAACTTCAAACATAAAAGTACAAATTACATATGGTTAAGATATAGTTGAAAACAGCTGTAAAGTTAGTTACGCCAACATTAACTATATAAACTCTTGTCTTGTATATTGCAATTCAATAATGTTAATGCACAAAATATTTTTCTTCATTATCTTATCTTTGTGACAATTATAATCATCTTCTTTCATCTTTTTATTCTATCTCCACAAGTTCATTGAAACCTAAGCATGACATTGATCAAAGTTTCTTTCTTAACATAGTATCAATTGTCATAAATGAACTGGATTTCTGCTGCACTTCAACCATCTAACAAGCTTCATGGCAGCCATAGTTGAAGCTTCCACAAGGTGCAGGATTATGTCTTCATAGACGAACGAGTGCATCATCAGTTTCAGAGAAACTCACACCTCCTGCAATCTCATCAACCGCTCAAGTTACAGAGAAACGTGATTAGTTACTCTTAATTATATGTTGCATGTGATACTCGGAGTTTCAGAGATTCAAGAATGGAAGATCTCAAATATTCATCGAATCTGGTGTACTAACTAACTCACCTGGGACACCATTGCACCACTCTCAAAATTCGATGTCGCATGTGAGTTTTACGGGATCGTTGTCATTTTTTGGTCCTAAACTCTCCATCAAATTGCAAGATAATAACTTCTTGCTATGGAATCAACAAGTAGAAGGGGTTATCCTCTCGCACAACCTGCATAAGTTTGTGGTGAATCCACAAGTTCCCCCTATGTTCAAGAGTGATCTTGATCGTATATCACCTGTGTTGCCTCATGTTCTTGCTTGCAAGCATGCACATGAAGTGTGGGCCAAAGTCCACAAACATTTCAACTCTCAAATTAAAGCACAATTTCATCAATTGCGATATAAATTAAAGACTAGCAAGAAAGGTACCAGATCCATCTCTAAGTATATTCTTCGCATTAGAACTATTGCAAACTCTCTCTTGGCTATAGGTGATCCAATCTCTGAGTGGGATCAGGTGAATGCAATTCTTCAGGGATTACCTGAAGAATATAATTCATTCATCATGATGGTGTATAGAAAATGTGATCTCACTGATATGTATGAGGTCGAAGCTTTGCTTTATATACAAGAGGCACAACTGGATAAGTACAAGCAAGAGCTTGCTACTTCGAGTGCTTTTCTGCAAATGTGACTCATGGTTCTTTTGTGAAAACTCCAGTAAAAAATGGTTACTCACGAGGAAGGGGCAGGTATACTCGTGGTTGAGGCCATAATGCTCGACAAAATTCTTCTCATGATGCAAGACAACAAGCTGCAGCAGGAAATAGACATACTTGTCAGCTATGTAATAAATTTGGACATTTTATACTTGATTGTCAGCATAGGTTCGATGAACAATTTGTTCCCTCAGTATCTAAATCACATGTTCAAGGCACTACCTCTGCGAGTGCAAATGATGCTCAAAGCTCAAATGCACCAGTTTCCACTGCTCCTGAAGCCCCACCTTATGTAGCTCACCATGGACAACTCAACATCCCTCTTGATCTTGAAGCACAAACCTGGATGTCTCACATCATATCACTTCTCGTAGTTTACATTTACATAATTATAAATCAAGTATTGGGCCAAAAAAGTGATAATTGATAATGGATAATGTCTCGAGGTTAATTCAGTTGGATACTCTAAGTTTTCTTCTAATCTTATGCCTAATCATGTGTTAAAATTCAATGATTTACTTTTTGTTCCTTACATCACAAGAAACTTAATATCAGTGTCCAAGTTTTCTAAAAACAATTGATTATACTTTGAGTTCTATCCGAATCATTTCTTTGTGAAATCTCAGGCATCTAATCAAGTTCTCTTGGAGATCAAGCTTGATGTAAATGGCCTCTATTGCTTCTCCACTATTGCCTTGGATCAGTTAAGAAATGACATGTCAACCGAGTCATGCATTTTTGATCATGTAGCTAATAATACTTTAGGAACAGTTCTTTTCAATTCGTGTATGTCCTTTAAAATGATATAAACTCTAGTTCTATAGCCCAATGCTAGGTTAGGACATGCTAATACGAATGTAATGAAAAATGTAATTCAAATGTGTAATATTTGATTCAATAATAAAAGGCTCGTTGAATTTTGTGATTCTTGTTGTCTTAGCAATTTCATCTCACATTGGCTACAATATTACATTGCATTTGTGGATGCCTATTCAAGTTATTCTTGGATCTACTTCTTGAAAAAACAAGAGTGATGCACTCTCAGCCTTTAATATGTTTCACAAATATGTGGCTACTCAATTCAATGGCAAGATAAAGGCTATTCAGTCTGATTTTGGTGGTGTGTTTATACCATTTACCAAGTTACTTAATGAATAAGGCATTATGCACATACCCACTTTCCCAAGTACATCACATAAAAATGGCAAGGTTGAGAGGAAGCATTGTCACACTGTGGAATTAGGGCTCACTTACTAGCTCATACAACTATGTTTATCTTACCAGGATCATAGCTTCACTACATCAATGTATCTCATCAACGGACTACATATAATTGTCTTACCCGGATTTACTTCACCTTTTACTGCAGTACATAACAAGTAACCAAATTAAAAGGCTCTTAGAGTGAGACTTTACAACAAGCATAAGCTTGAGTTCAGAAGCTCCAAATATGTTTACTTGGGAGTTTATCCTACACACAAAGGATATAAGTGCTTAAATCATGAAGGAAAAGTCCTCATTTTTAAAGATGTAGTCTTTCATGGGTCACATTTTTCTTTTAAATATGGCTTTGTAACACCCTAATATTTCCCCGAAATATTTATAAATAAAATCCGAGTAAATTAAAAACTTCACCCAATTAGAATGTCCCATTCATCAAGCAACAACCTTCTCATATTATAGAAATATGTAACACATACAACTTTTGAAATTATTAATAATAACTATAATAAACATCACCACGCCTAACTTCATTTTATTACAGCGGAAACATCAACCAAATATTAAAATACTTATTCAAAAATAATACATGTCATAAAGTAATTATGAAATTGCAATACAAGAGATATCACAAAATCTCTAATAACATAGTATAACAAATCAATCATTTGACCCCCAGTGTTACATATCATAGCAAACACTGACACTGACGAAAGCAATAAAGAAGAGCACTCTCTTCTAAACTCATCCACACTTTCACTGCGGATCACATGTGCATTACCCACATGGAGGAAACATTTAAGCAGAAAGGGTAATATACCGCAATAATATAAACGAATGCATAATAATAAGTAAATAATAGATTATTTCATGCATATTCACTCAATTCACCATCCACACATCCATATAAACCAAAACACCAAATTGCACATAAAATATGTAATAACAACGTTCATGCAACAACAATTATGCAAATGCACTGAGACTAAATGCATGTGGTATCAATCCTTCATGAACACTCAGGTTCACCGCTCTGATCCTCATCATAGGCACGAAGCACACCAAAATGCACTCAATCCACACAATGAGATTAAGGCTCACCAATATTGACCATCATCCAAACACCAATTATGCATGATGAATATTAAACATGCAACAACAACAAGTATATTACCTTTCACTATTGGCAATTATACTTGCCAATTCTAGCCACCACACACGAAGTACCTGTTATACAATCTGCAACAACAATTTACAAAATAGCAAGTCAAGACAATGCACATAACACATATTTCTAACACCGGCATCATACCGCAAAATACATAGACACCACAAAACACCATTTTACACTAATTAAATTTTATTCCAGAAACATGAAACCATTTTTACAAGAAAACACACTATACCAGCTCTCCACAGGTTCAAACAACGCATCAAACGGGCACCCGAAACTCAAGAAACGAATTTTTAAAGTTTTTATAAAGTTCTTCTAAAATAGATGGTAATCGATTACACCCAAAGTGGTAATCGATTACACACTCACAATTGGTCTATTTGCTCAATTTTTTAAAACAGTTATCGATTACGCCCAAGGTGTAATCGATTACGCCCAAGGTGTAATCGATTACGCCCACTTTCCAGAATCCAATTCATGTCTAATCGATTACACCCATACTGGTAATCGATTACGCCTTCGTATTTTCAAAAAAAAATTAAAGTCATCACAGTTTAATCGATTACACCCAAGTGGTAATCGATTATCACTGCGACAGAAGCAGTTTTCTGCTATGTCAGTGTACGAAAATCAATCATTCTCCCACCCAAAAACCCCAATTTTCTTGAAACATTGAGCAATTAAATTTTATAGATTCAATCCTATCAACATACAAAATCACAATATTCACCAACAACGCATCATTCAACACAACAACATCATATCACCACTCATCAAAATTGAATCAAATATAAGAAGAGATAATCACAATTATGCATAGATACAATCCAACCATAACAATCATAACCCCAAACCTACACACTATTATACAATCCCTTAGAAAATTGGAATCCCCCTTACCTTGGTATTCCTAGCAAAGCTCTTGACCTCTACAATAGAGTTTGCCTCTTCTTTCCCAAGCCCTAGCTCTGGTCTCTAACTTTTCTCTTCTCTTTTCATGTTCTATCAGCTCTAACCTCCCTGACTCCAATTCCCTTATTATATTATTATTATTATTATTATTATTATTATTATTATTATTATTATTATTATTATTATTATTATTATTATTATTATTATTATTTAATATTATTATTTAATATTATTATTATTCCAACTAAATAAAACCACCAAAAATAAAAACTAAATAATTATTTAATTCTATTATTACCATTATTATTTAATTTATTAAAAAAATAATTTTAAATAATGCTAGTAACAATATTCTCACACCACCCCTATGTTTCTACCTTTTTATTCAAACACCCCCCAACACCTCTATTTCAAATTCTAAAGGGCATCACCCTACATCGAAGGGATCCCAAACATATCAAAATACAGAATAACACATAACATCACACAAATCATTTACGAATAATTAATTAAAATAAATCAGGGTGTTACAGACTTCATCACCACAAGGGTTTCAGTTACTTCACCCTCAAACAACAAGCCTAGTGTGGAGTTGTATCTACCTTCTCAAGTTGAAAGCAAGACTGAGGTTTATGCATCACCTTTACAACATCATCCACCATCTGATGCTATTCATCACCAAGTTCATTCAATTACAACCACTGATCTAGTGGTTCCATATTTTCCAATAGGGCTTGACATTCATGATCATAATATGATAAACTCACTTGAATTATTATCATATGTGCTTCAGACTCCACATAAATCCTTGATAACACCTGCTGGCAGATCTACAACATCTCAAGTGTTTGGCCAGCTGGTGACTTATATCTTCAACTCAGCTATGCAAAATGCTTCTCCTATTGAGGTTCTAAGTAACTTAACTGAGTTTATGTGGGCCTCCATTCCCAACGCCTCAAGCCAAGATGTTATACCTCTTGTGACTAATGCTCATCCCATGATGACTGGAGACAAAATTGGTGTTATGAATTGGCCTAATAGCTAGAATTTGCCCAATCCGCTTCTACCTTTGGCACGACCCAATAACACTGGCCCGACAACCCTGGCCGACTACGCCCCAAGAAGCGCGACCAGTGATGCCTGGTATGCTCACTTGAACAAGCCTGCAGCTATCTCTCTGTCTGGACGACACGAGTCGAGCAGACAACCAGGAAACGTCCAAAATGCCACTCTTCCTGTAATCCGCCTCCTCCTCGAAACTAAGGGCTAGTTACGGGTAGATCTGCCCGTTTTAACCGAGTCTTAACAGTTACCTATTTTTGCGGACCCGTATATCTAAGCCCAAAAATACGAACCAATGGCCAAGCGACGGGGGCATTATATAAATCATCACACATGTGAGGGTCAGGTATCCAATATTCAAACCATAAACGATAATATTCTTCTTGTATCTCTTTGCACCCATTCTTACTTGATCGCCGGAGTGCCTTGTAGGTACAACCCCCTCTTTTTTCCTCAACTTTCCAGCAAGCCAGATATTATCCTTTGGCCCATTTGTAGGTTCTGATCAACCGGTAAGATTAGTGGCGTTGTCTGTGGGAAACCATTTTCCCCGCTTTCTTTCCCTATAAACTGAAGACCAAAGATACCTCCAATTCTCAATCATGG